TGGTATTGTTTGCTTGTATCTTTCAATGTTATTATTATTATTATTATTAGTATTACACACATATGACATACAAATACACATCTATTGACCAAAAATATCAGTCTTGTGTATGGATGTGTGTTTATATGTACCAGGAAACTTTATTTGTTGGAATAGAAAAAGAAATTTCTTTTTTGAAGAGTTTTTAAAGTTACATATCATGTTGATTGAAAGTTTTAAGGAAACACTCAAAAATCTATTTCAATCAATGAGTTTAAATATTTTCAATTTATGTTACATTTAGTAAATAAGTCTAGAGAAATGTAGTGTCTAGTTCATTTCCTTTAGTAAAGAGGCCACGGTTACGATTACACATCTATCTTCAATATATATATACATTCAACAGTTGAGATCATGAGTCAATTGGAGCTAGACCATCATGGAAAACCTGGAAGCATTGGACGGCCGTTTCGTCCTGGTTTTCCAGGTTTTCCATGGTGGTCTAGCTTCAATTGACTCATGATTTCAATCAATGAAATTTCTAAAATCTCCACAAAACCCTTTCTGATATAATGAAATTGTTGTGTATTTGATTGCATTTAGTCATGATTCAATCGAGTGGTTTTAATGAAAATGCAAAGTGACAGTCAACGGATTTTATTAACAAATGATGTAGTTATTCATTATCGTAAATTTGATGATTTTTATCTGTTGCTTGATTAGAAATCTTTAAGGTAACAATACTGTGATGTATGCTACTGATGTCGATAGATAAAATTATTATGTTTCGCCAATCGAAAATGGAATGCCAGGCGGCAAAAGGTTGAGAAAATCAAAGAGAATGAGAACAGAGTGTGATTGGTATAAAAACGAAGAAGCAACAAAGTCTGAGATAGTTGATGGATATTTTGCAAAGGAAATATTTACTGTATGGCTCTCAGATTTTAGCAAGATATTCTGCAGTGTATTAGGGTATATTTAGTTGTCTCCACCTGTGTTCTCATTCACTTTACCACTATTATTACTACTATATCATTATCACAAATTTTATGAGCAAACTACTTTGATTGGTACATAAGTTTTTGTAGCAAATTAACTTCATTTATCAAGACTTTGTCTAATTTCATTTGGGTCAAAAATACCTAAAAACCTGAATTTACACACAATATTCATTGTGTTGTGTTCAGAATTTTCGATTATTTTCCCATTTCTTTAGTATGTACTACATATCCGAATGTGGTTGTCACAGAAGATTTCATTTCAACCCCTAACTGTATTTGGGCTTTTTATTGATGATATTGGGATGAGTTACCCAGCAAATGTACATGGAAGAGATTTACAGTTAATTCTTTCCCATTGAAATAAAGGAAAATATATTTTATTTAGCTAAATATTTTCTGTTAAATTAAAAATATCATTATAGAGTTTGCCGAGACTGTTACCTTTTTGATTGAGATGTTAGACCACAATTGAAAACCTGGAAGCGTAGGACAGCCATAACCGGTGAAGCTGATTCGTGTCGGATAGATACAGGTATCTATCTCAGTACAATGGAAGATGATCACACAATTTTGTGGATTGGTTGGGGTTAGACAGTAACGCCGTTGAATGCCGGTCAGTTCAGTGGTCCAATAGGTTAAGCGTTCGCAAGCGCGACTGAAGGCCTTGGGTTCGAATCCCGCGAGTGGGGAGTCCCGCACTAGAACGAAACGGCCGTCCAGTGCTTCCCGGTTTTCAGTGGTGGTCTAACGTTAGTCAGTTCATGACCTCAGTCAAAAAAAAGTTAAGAACAGACTAGGAGATAAATAAATATAGTAATTACTAGAAATCCAATCATTGGCTGAATTTTAATATTTTCACAAGAAAATTAGACATAACCTTTGGTGAAGATTGGGCAGATAGAAGAAAAATTCAGAGTCATAATTATTTATTTACTAGTAAACAATGTAGGCATATTATAGACATCTACCAAAATATTTAATAATAACAACAAAGCATATTAAGTAAGATATAAACTATGCATAGACTATTTATCATAGGGGTAATATATATATAATGGGCTAATAATTCTATCTGGATACTTAGGTTTCAAAAGAGGTTTCTAACTGGATTTTAAAAAAGTCGAATGTGTAAATTATGAATAGATCAAAGTTTTACAATTAATCATCAAGAAATTTGTTTATTTGTAAAAGATAAAATAAACATTAATTTGCATAATAAAACATTCACAACCAAGAAAATTCCGTATAACTCAATCATGGTGTACAACATTTTGAAGAAAATCAAACCTCATTTAGAAGTAAATGAACTAATTAGACTAACGCTAGAAGTGATTAAAGTATTTGTCTACAATATAATATACTTCAATGAATAACTATGTAATGAAGTGTTTTTTTCCTACATAACAGAGTAACTGTGACTGAAATGTTGTCATTATTAATTATTATCAAAGTTTATTTCAGTATTGAAATTTATAAAACATCAGACAAACTAGACTGAGGGTCAAACACACAACTACAGGATATGAGGTTTTGGTAGGATTTTATAAGTGGGTAAATGAAGACTAAAATAGATTGATTAATAACAATAACAATAATGATAATAATAATAATAATGTAGAGAATGAAATGATTGATTGTTGGTGGATTTAGAAAATTAAGGATAAGATTACATGTAATTTAAAGAGGAGAAAGTAGTAAATAGTTAATGTTGAAGGTTTTTTCTTGATATACAGCGTATAACTGAGCACTAGAACACCAAAACCCTTCCAAGTCGCAATATGAAGACAAAAGACTAATGAAAGGAATATTATTGCAAACGGTGTCAATTGTAGTACAAAATTGTCAGGTATTTATAGTTTTTAGTATGAACGAAATCATCACTACAGTCCACCAATCCGCATACAGGGAGTTATTGGCGTTGTCCAATCAAGAAGCTACGCGTAGGAATTCTAGAATATTCTACCAAAAGGTGATTGGATGAAAAATCTTGGGCTCCTTTTGAGTCTCTTACAGCTTTCTCGAGTTCACCCGTGGTTTGTCGTCACAGTTAACAAAACACCACAAAACAATGATTGAAGAAAAATACAGAAATATAGAGGGATCTAGAACTACGTCAAAAAAGTGACCTAAAAAAATTGTTTACTGTATACATATATCTGGCTCTATCATCAATATTTCTACGAAGAACAATTATATGCGCCTTCAAGCAGTCTTGTTATGATCTTATAAATTATCTGAAGTCATGAGTTCGATACTGTGTGGCTATATAAACAACTCCATAGAAACAGGTGGATAAATTAACGTATATGAAATTGCTTCAATTTGATAATTTGCTTTGCATACAAGTGTTCACCATGTAGATTCTAATGTACGGTATTCCCAGTGAAGGTTCATAAAATGTCGGTCAAATATTTATATAGGCTTAATTTAGAAATATTACACTTACATTCCAGACTGGTGTATATATTCTTTTTTAGTACAACTATAAATTTCGAATCAGTTCTGATATCTTTCACATATATCGTTATCAAACTTTAGAGAATAACTGTTGTCAGTAAAATTAGGTTAAACATATAGAAGTTACTTTTCTATTTTGTATTTTGTGCATATTTTTATGATACAAGAACCGATGGAATAAACAAGATCATTTTTTGTAAGTTTCAAGTAAATCTTTTATAGACAGACCTTCCTAAATTCCCAACATAACTTAATGTGGGTAAAATTTATAGAAACAGATTACTAGATTCTACTTCGTTTTCAAAGTACATTGGATAAATGGGTAATGGTAATTAAAAGTTTTCAGTAAACCTTCAGTTACAACCTTCACCACGAACAATAAATATGAAATCAGCTTGTTCCCTATGTATCTATAGCTCTTCTGTTGTCTTCTTAAGGGCCTTGTTATGAATACTTTTCGAAAAAAGCTCACTGATACTGAGTCTAATGGTGATCTCGTTGCAGCACCATCAGCACTATCAATTGTAGAATTTGTTGTTGAATCTGTAATGTACAATCAAAGTGCGTCTGACAATTATATCCTTTGGATAAGATCTAGTTATGATCGTATCCAATCCGTAAATTTAAATAAAGCTCGAAATGAAGGATACTAGTTCATTTAGCAGAAAGTTTACAAATAAAGGAGATATGTAGAAAAGAGCTCATCTATACTTTTAATGGACTCAATATATTCAAAAGAGTTCTCAAAAGAGCATTTAAAAACTTTTCTACTAATTTGTTTATAATATTAAGGTAGACATACAGCAATGATATGATAGGTACATTTGGATCTACCAAAAATTGAACCAAATGATTTTTTGTTAGTGTTTTTTAGATAAAGTGTGAAGGCGAAGTATTCCAGATCCAGCATATTAGTTATATTTGAATTAAACCAATATTTAAATTTGTGTTTCAGTTATTTACATCTTATTTTTATCACCTATCGATTTAGATAATTTTTTGTTTGACAGAATTACTAATATTTTGTTAAAACAATCTTGGCAATTGATCTGCTTCTATAAGAAGAGTATCAATACTTATCTTTATTTTATTATGTCGTTTAAAGTGCTTCTCAATTGAATAATTTAGTTGCTTCAGTTTATTCTACGACAACTGAATAAACACAATCTAGAAGAACTGATCTGAAATTTTTCAAATCTTCTGATGAAACTGATACAAGATCAAATTACCTTTAATTAGTTCCTAATTTCATTTGTAATAAACTTCATTTACCCACAAGTAGAATCACATCGTAACCTTTCGTCTTATAGTCTTATCTTCGATCCTTAATCTGTTTTAAGATTTTTGCTTTCAGTTTCATAAGTCTGTTATTCATTATTAATCTATTCTATATGTTACTAAAGATCATACTCCATAATTTCTAATCATTATTTAAAATATGTCAGAAATCTGATTTAAAATTGACATTGTAGTGAATAAATACAAACTTCTAGAGATGTTTTACAGGAAAATTTAATTAAATCTTATCTTTTTCCATTACTGATTTCAATGAATAATTAAAAATTAGTAATTGTAATTAATTAATGATGATGATGATGATGATGATGATGATGATGATGATGATGATGATGATGATGATGATGATGATGATGATGATGATGATGATGATGATGATGATGATGATGATGATGATGATGATGATGATGATGATGATGATGATGATGATGATGATGATGATGATGATGATGATGATGATGATGATGATGATGATGATGATGATGATGATGATGATGATGATGATGATGATGATGATGATGATAATGATGATGATGATGATGATGATGATGATGATGATGATGATGATGATGATGATGATGATGATGATGATGATGATGATGATGATGATGATGATGATGATGATGATGATGATGATGATGATGATGATGATGATGATGATGATGATGATGATGATGATGATGATGATGATGATGATGATGATGATGATGATGATGATGATGATGATGATGATGATGATGATGATGATGATGATGATGATGATGATGATGATGATGATGATGATGATGATGATGATGATGATGATGATGATGATGATGATGATGATGATGATGATGATGATGATGATGATGATGATGATGATGATGATGATGATGATGATGATGATGATGATGATGATGATGATGATGATGATGATGATGATGATGATGATGATGATGATGATGATGATAGAATAATAAGTAGAATAAGATAGTTCATTATTTATTTTTATGATATTCATTTTCATTCCTGATCATTTGTTTGCCAAGTAACAATCACTAGCAAACATAATTACTTGCATTTCCGAATAAATATCATTGATATTGAATATAACTTTGTGGCTGTCGGAATTCACTCAGTTAGCAGACAATGCTTTGATAACTTTGATGTGACAAATGTTGTTTCAATCTCAATTCAGATAACAACACTAAGTTTCTAGCACATTTAAATAAATTGGATGAAAAATGCATATTGGATTCCATTATTGAACATAATCCAAAAATACACCGTGCATAATGTTTGGAAGCAAAATGCTGATGTCATAAATTTCTTCAACCAATGACTTGATCGCCGAAACTTGTTCAGACGGATTGATTAAAGATTGAACAACTAATCAATGCAAATGATTTAAATAATCAATTGTTACCATCACTTTAATTATTGCTATTATTATTTAAAAGCAGAATAGTAACATGTAAAGTATTAAAGAGAAATATAAAAAAATGAAGGAAGCATCCCAACTAATAATTGAAATCAAAAGAACCAATTGAAGAATAACACATTCTATTTAATTATGTAATCCTTGCAAGCAAATCCACAACAGAAAATTATCATTTATTTCTCAAGAGAAAACTATCAAATACAATTTTATCCGATTGCATAATGATTGGGTGGCCTAGTAAAACAAAAACCAAAGTTCATCGTCCGTTGAACATCAACTGAATGTAATAGTAAATTCTGATAACCTAAATCGTATATACATAAAAATATTTGTTCTCTTTTTCTAAAAAGAAATTCTACTGATAATCATGACATTTCTCATTCCCCATGGGTTTATCTAATTAATTCATTGGTATATATATATATATTGAAACTTACTGAGCGCAGCATCATATCATGAATCGATCGAAGTTATCAGAATGAATCATTTAAATCCATTTTTGCAGTCTAACTAATATCATGCTCGTCGCATGATTCTAAATTGCTTGATTAAATCCAACGTCGAGCCCTCAGTGCATATGAGGACGTTAAAGTTGACCTATGTCCTTATCTGTCTTTCATTTATTGTAAAACTAAATTTCACTACACATCCGTTTCAAGAAATCAATAATTAGACCTGAAAACCGGCACAACTCCCCATTGTGCTTTAATAATAGAAAACTGGAGATTGTGGGTTGCGCAAAATGATAATCATTTATTTAGTGTTGACAATTTTGTTAAAGATATAAAAAAGATAAGACACTTGGGTAATTCAGCATGGAAATTTTCTCTGATATACAAATTTAATAAATCTGAAACCCGAATAATCTCATGAAATGACTTTACAACTTTATTAATTTCAAGTAGTCAAGAATCAGGTTAATTAAAATTACAATAGAAGTACTGTATTATAAATATTCATAGGTGTAACAAACAGATGTTTATATTTTCGTTTATATATATATTTACTTAGTGTTTTCTAAGTGTGTACATAGTCCTTCCAAAAGATGTAAGGGCCAAAATTGTTAGTTATAAAAGATTACCGATCTTCAGACAATGATCAAATTATCAAACATTTGTGCTCTCCGATCATCAAAATCACTATCCAAATGATCAATGATGAATTGAATTCTAGAAAAGTTGTATATTCACACAATGTTAGCAAAATGCTTAACCCTGAAAAAAACGATATCAAAGAAATCATACCCAATTTACTCAAATATAATCATTGTCATTAAGTAAGGCTTCAAACTTAAACTACCCAGTGATTGACTCATGATTCCAACTTCTGAAATTTTTAAAAATCTCCACAAAACCCATTCTGATAATAATAATCACCTGCTCACTAGTGACTGACTTCAGGAGACACTCCTGGAGTTCTAGAGAGAAGTCGTTACCAGTGGAGTTCAACGTGATCTGATGTGAGATAGGAACTCACTGAAGACAATGGTGTACGGTGGCGCAACTTCGTGGATTGGTTGAAGTTAGACATAAACACCGTTGGATACAGGCTCATTGGTCTAATGGTTGAGTGCTCGCGCGCGAGACCAGTAGGTCCTGAGTTCGAATCCCGCGATGTGCAAGGTCGTGGATGCGCACTGCTGAGAAGTCCCATACCAGGACGAAACGGCCATCCAGTGCTTCCAGGTTTTCCATAGTGGTCTAGCTTCAATTGACTCATGATTCCAACTTGTGAAAAGATAAAGCATTAAAAGAAGTGGATGAAAAGTTTGACTTGTGGAAACTTCTATGGATGATTTGAACAATATGAACGCGGATAGGACAAGTGTATTACTATAAAACAAAAATTAATCTGAAAGGATTAAAACTATTACACTCTGAAATTTATAAAATGAACTTCCTGAGTACTTCTCTAATAAACCGCCTGTAATTTAATAGAATTTCATATAAGATTTATCAAAAAACTTTTTTGGATACAGATGATTCTAATTTGTTGAAAATTTCATCAATATTTTTTGAAGCGAATGATACGGGGTTTGAGTTCCAGAGTAAACATCAACTCGGAGATGCAGGTACATCTAGCTGACGAGTCTCAAATAGGACGAAATGTACGTCGAACTGGAATAATATAATTCATTAAATACATCTTATTAATAGCTATACAAGTGTACACAATTAAATGAATTTACATAGATGTATGTATATATAGACTTGAAAAGGATAAACAATCTATGTGGTAACATGACTTGGTATATACTTTTACAATAAGAAATTTATAACCAAATCATGAAAGTAGACTAAATAATGATAGAATAGAAAACTATTATATCATGGATTAGTTGACAAAATAAATCAATGCGCCTTTACAGAATATACTTTGTTAATTCACCAATACTAAAATTGTTCTTTTCATCAATGCACACTCACAAATTTCCTCAGGGATGGAAGTAAAGAACTTCAGTCTTGCATTGTTTAATTTTTGTGTTTCGGTAGAAATATACAACAGTTCATTTCGTCTGGTCTAGATCAAATTGGAAAGCTTCCAAACATAGTGATCGGAATATGTGACGGCAGTGTAATTTCATCATTGTTTGTTTCGCCATTAATTGACATAACCTTCAACTAAACAATTGAAAATCTAATGCTTCAGCTTTCACACCATCATTCCACATAAAGATACATACATACAATTTACGTGGTTAGATAAATAGTAATCAAGATTTTTTAAATCAAGGTTGATTGATAGATTTCATAATTTAAAGCACAAATTCGGATCCCAAATTATAAAGCAAATAATAGATTAAATTGATTCAAAAAGTTGCATGAAAGTACAAACTGTTAAAGTACATGTTTCATACAATGTGGCGAGAATCAAAGGATTTTTCCTTCATAACAAGATAATTGTCACTATAAACCGTCATCTTGTGTTTACTGATGACTAAATTGAAAGCAAATTTCCTAATTCTATCGGAAGTTTGTGCTGATGATGTCGTTCAAAAGAATGATGAAAGCTTGACGACCAAACAATCCAGCTCAGAAAACAAAACTCCATCAAATTCACTATTATTTCGACAAAAAGAAATGGAAGTGACTTTTTAAAGTACCATGTTTATGTACGTACTTGGTTATTTTATCGTATCAATATAGAAAAAAATAGGTAATTCTGATGTAAAGTATTCACAAAACGATACACTGAAATATAGCTAGTGTGATAATACTAAATATTATTGTCATTATCTACGAGTTATGAAATACTCAATAACTGGTAGAAAAACATTGTTATAAGTTTCTTTTGTAAAGAAAACGCTTCGCGGTTAAAGAACATCACACTAAACCGTTGAGTTGTACGTCCGAAACCCGTTTCACATACTTCAGTTTTTAGTAAGTCCGATCAATCATCCTTACATATTTGTGTGAACTTAGTTTGAATACACGGACCTGCATCGTTATCGAATGATACTACTTTTCTTGTCTCAGTAGCTTCATATTTATGCCTGAATCTCATAGAACCTTAGATTAAAACTTTATGTATTAGTTCACCACACAACAAATTATCTATTCATCAGACCTATATAAACATTCAAATCCGCCATCGGACGCTTACCAATACGATGTCTACTGAAGTATAACGCTTTAAGTTACAACAAGTTATATTCACTAGATACCAGCAAACTTGAACACCTACAAGGATTGAAATAAACTATACTCTTGAACCGGCCAGCATCTTGATCTGCATCTTAGAGTCATATTTTGGCTAACTTTCAATCTGCGCGTGATACTGACAGGATGTTTGGTTTATATTGATTATTGTCTAATGTAAATTAAGGCACTATAAGTAAATGCATCTTATGCGAGAACGAAACGAAGATAGAAAGTTAGGAGTGTTTTGAATAATTAGCTGATATTTAAATAACGTTGTATGTTTGGATTTTGGAAAAAAAAACTACAGAGAAGGTACTTTCAAAAAGTAAGTACATGAAGGTGTGTACCCTCATTCCGACAAAGAAAAAGTGGATTCACCTAGGTAAAACCATATATATTGAAGAATGGATAATCTCCATTTGTATTGAAAGAAATAGATAAAACTGTTATCCACTAAGGATATTTCGTAAACATCCATAACCAAGGTTATGCTGACAGAACAGCAGGAGTGTGAGCTAATTTTACTATGATTCCATAAGGAAAGTGACATGATGATAAATCTTGATAAATCTTCATACTGGATGACCATTCTTTGACTTCAAAACAGAGTAACCTGTTCTGAGTATGAAGATCTTTCCTAATGATATAAAAGCTCTACAAGTATTAATTTTCTCTACTTTTATTATGTTTCCGTTTTACATATCATACTGTAATTTAACCATTATAAGTATAACAAATACACTTACAAACTTTTCTTATTTCCATTGGATACAATATTCAGTAATTACAGTGAATTAATCGTTTAAGATCACTTACTTCAATAATCTACATTCAAATGGATGATTATTTTTCAGTCCATAATGAGAATATATTACATAATTTATTGATATTTTTATCCAGTAATTTATTCTTATCCC